AGACCGAGTGATAAACTTGTGATAGGTGTGAAATGGATCTACAAGACCAAACTGAATTTGGATGGATCAATATAGAAGAACAAAGCAAGATTAGTTGCCAAAGGCTACTCACAACAACCTGGGGTAGATTTCAATGAAACCTTTGCCCCTGTGGCAAGGTTAGATACCATTAGAACCTTGATTGCTCTTGCTGCCCAAAAGGGATGGAAACTTCACCAGTTAGATGTTAAATCAGCCTTTCTAAATGGCATTCTGGAGGAAGAAGTGTATGTGGATCAACCACAAGGATTTGAAGTACCAAATAAAGAAGATAGGGTTTATAAGTTAAACAAAGCACTGTATGGACTCAAACAAGCCCCCAGGGCTTGGTACAGTGAGATAGACTCCTATTTCAGCAAGAGTGGATTTAACAAAAGTCCTAGTGAAGCTACATTATATACAAAAACTGGTGAGAACTCTGAGATGCTTATTGTGTCTATATATGTTGATGATGTGGTCTTTACTGGCAGTTGTGAAGAAATGATTGAAGAATTCAGAAGGGACATGATGAGACAATATGAGATGTCGGATCTTGGCTTGTTGCATCACTTCTTGGGAATTGGAGTAATACAAGAAGTTACTAGGATTTTCATACATCAACAAAAGTATGCACAATCATTGCTTGAAAGATTCAATCTGAAAGGATGTAAATCTGTGACAACACCATTGATCACAAATGAGAAACTTTGTAAAGTGGATGATTCTGAATCTGCTGATGAATGCTTATACAGAAGAATGGTTGGAAGTCTGCTTTGCTTGACTGCTACAAGACCTGACATTATGTATGCAGCCAGTCTCTTATCAAGGTTCATGCATAATCCCACAAAAATTCACTTGGGAACTGCTAAGAGAGTACTAAGGTATATCTCAGGGACCTTGGACTATGGAATCAAGTATGAAAAGGGAGAAAAAGCAATTATGGTAGGCTTCTGTGACAGCGATTGGGGTGGCAGTGAAGATGACATGAGAAGTACCTCAGGATATGCATTCACATTTGGTTCTGGGATATTTCTTGGGCCTCTGTCAAGCAACAAAGTGTTGCATTGTCTACGGCTGAGGCAGAGTATGTGAGTGCTGCAATGGCTACCTCTCAAGATATATGGTTGAGGTTTATGTTAAAGGATTTTGGTGAAATGCAAGTGGATGCTTCACCACTTATGTGTGACAACACATCAGCAATAGCTATGACCAAAAATCCTATTTTTCATCAGAAAACCAAGCATATCAAAAGGAAGTTTCACTTCATAAGGGAAGCCTTGCAGGAGAATACCATTGAACTGATCTACTGCAAATCACATGATCAAATGGTAGACATCTTTACCAAAGCTCTACCAAGGGAAAGATTTGTCTATCTCAGAGGAATGCTTGGGATCAAAACCAGAATTCATTTAAAGGGGAGTGTTGGAATTAAATAGAATTTAGTTTTGATCAAGTGGCTGAGAAGGAAGAAACCAATAGGAAAGTATATGTCTAGTCTCATAAGACAAGTGTATGCTTTAGATCTTTGTTTGTGAATCAAGGGCTTATATTGCTCTAGATTAGCTTGTAAGAAAAAATCTAATGTGTTGATATTAAATGAAAATATCTGTGCTTGCTGCATGGACTGAAAAACTTTTCACATTCCTCTAAACCTTCTCTGTTTTTTCTTGTTCCTTGTCTACCTTCAGAAATACATCATACAAACCAAGTTAACTCACCGGAATTTATCAGGGATATATTTCAAACGTTCCAGAAATAGTAGCAGCGTTGTAGTCTTTTTGGATCTAAGAACTGGTAACATAAATCCCGTAGAATGTCCGGTATCCCAAAAGGGGGTGTATACGAGCATCTTTAGTTATCCGGTGGCTTGCTTTCCCAAAAAAATTATGGGAATTTGATTCCACTAAAACGTTATGGGAAGCCGGATGAAGCAGATGCAGAAGCAGATCGATGGAGTTGCAATCCCTTTTTCAACATTTGGCATAATTTTTATTGAAGTGCAAGATAAGACTCCAGTTTTCCATCAGTTTGCTGGAAGAAGTTGCTTATGTTATTATTTCAATATTTAGTTCATTGTATTTTCTCTTTTGAACATTCAATTCCTTGCTATACTCTTGGTTACCTTCGAATTTATCTGATCAAACTGAATATTCAAACAACATTGTAAGCTGTTGATCTATCTTTTCTTGAATTACAAACGAAGATCTTGGCTTAGCTCTGGTTGAGCACTCCACTTTCCTTAAGCACATGAAGACTCGTTATAATTTTTTTTTATTCGAAGAAGGATGAACCAAGCTTAAAGAAAATCAGCCAAATCCGGGAAAAAAAAAATTATAAGCAAGATATCAGAAAAGTTATATGTATATGAGGGTTTTATATACACAGACAGCTTTTTAGTGCTTTTGCTTGCAGGAATTTATGCAAAAGTGCTTTTGGCATGCATATTTGCCTTCTGCAAATTGTATTCAAATTCCAGAGCTCCCCAGTTGCTTTAGAATCATTCTACCTGAAAAGCTTTCCCTCTCCAAGGTTTCACTATTTGAAATGAGCAAAGCAAACTGGCATCGACACTCATCAATGCACCTGCATTGTTGAACTCTCCACAATAGTTCGGTGCTGAGAATATGGTCACCAACTGCCGGTCTGCAAAGAACTCATATCCGTCTTCTACGACCTGTCAACAAAGGAAAAGGAAGGCTTCAGCCTCAATGTGACGGCGGCAAAGATCGTTTACCAAATGTGGACGGTAGATGTGGTACATAGGAAATGATTTCCACACTTTCTTTTTCACCTCTGCATTCCCCTCTTCTTTTCTAGCCACGTTCAATTGATTAAATCAAAGGAGATTCAATTGACAGAAAAAAGGGTTTGCAGAAGGAGAAAAAGGGAAGTGCGGAAATCATTTCCGTAACATGACTCGTCATAAAATAATGCTTGAAAACTTGATGTTCTTCTTTCCAATCACCCGTTGCATACAATCAAGCGGCATACCTCTCATTATGTGATCTAAAACATGTTGGGACATAATTGCATACAACCGGTGATACGATAAAATTACTCTTTGGAACGTTATAAAATATAAAAAAAGGGAAAGATAGAAACCTGGTGAGCCCGGCATATGAGATCCATATCATGTTTCAGCAAGAACTCTGCAACCCTATCTGCCCCAAAGGTAAAAGAAACACCCCTATCATTCTCACCCCACCCTTTAATGTCCCTGTCCGGATCCGACCAAAGTAGGTCACACAAAAGCCCTTGATCTGGCACGTCAACCGGCCTTTCAATCGCTCTGAGCTGTTCCAAGCTGTTCAATTCAGGAGACAGGCCACCATGCATGCAGAAGATCTTGTCATCTATGACTGCAGCCACAGGTAAACAGTTAAAGCAGTCTGTGAAGATCTTCCATAGCCGGACGCTGAAGCGGCGTTTACACTCATCGTAAAATCCATAGATTCGATTGATGGAAGCGCATTCGTGGTTCCCTCGGAGGAGGAAAAAATTGTCCGGAAATTTGACTTTATATGCAAGGAGAAGGCATATTGTCTCTGTGCTTTGTTTTCCTCTGTCGACGTAGTCTCCAAGGAATACATAGTTGGCTTCCGGTGGGAAGCCTCCGTACTCAAATAATCGCAAGAGGTCAGGATATTGCCCGTGTATATCACCTGCACAACCCGAAATATGATAAGTAAATGCGGTACAAATAGCAGGCTCTATAATATGATCTCATTGCTTGCATTCCAAGTCTACATTTTACTAGATCAACGACAAAAAAACAATGCAACGAGATCAAAAAATCTAGCTGCCGGAATCATAAACATTTTTATTACCGCAAACGTTGATGGGGGCTTCCAATTCGAGAAGATTAGGCTGCCTGAGGAAGACTTGTTTGGCAGTGATGCAAAGTTGCCGGATTTCGGCTTCGGTTAGCTGAATCCTCTTACCTCTGTGAACCCTGCCTTCCAACAGTCTCTGTATCAGCGCATCCAATCCTTCCATCCCCCACTTCCCTATCTTTTTCACTATTTTTGTTTTATGATTTGATCCTACAATCTCTATAACTATAATTATGTATTAATTTTTTATTAATCTTAAGGATGAGAGAGAGAGAGAGAGAGAGAGAGAGAGAGAGAATTGGTGGAAGTTTTTTATTTTTTTTGGTCAGAGTAATTGAGAGACTTGTTCTGTTTTTGGGTTTGTGAGTTGTGACATGAACCTTAATTTTATGGAGAGGTTCAAATGTTGCCAACCAATTAGAACAAGAAATCAGCACCCCACAACCTTTCCCCGACTTAGATGGGCCGTTCTTCCATGGAAAATGGGGTAATTAGGCTGTAAATGATGATTGACTTCTTGTTTAGTTCAGTCGGTACGATATGGAAAGTTTTAGTGTGATGGTCACACTGTCACGTATCACGTGACGATATCTATTTATCAACACACACCCTAGGTTTATGAATATCAAATTTGTTGTCCTCTAAGACATAAGACGTGGAATAGTTAACCCGATTATAAGTTCTTGTTGACCATGGCGTACAGAAACCTGGCTATCTTCCGCTTTTAACCCTGTTTGCATAGGTTTGTGCACAGATTTACGTTCAAGAATCCCGAGGGCTTTCACTTCGACACATCTTCGCTCATGACACTTAGAGCCCCTCTTCCATTTGAACGTTTCAGCAATACAAAAACGATTCTTAAATAGATAACGATGAGTACTTACCACGATTTAAACAACCACGGTTGCAAATTTTGAAAGATTAACATTACTCAAATAACGATACTTAAAACGACGATGATTTGTCTTACAAGGATAAACATACTGTGATTTACATAGTTACAAACATCGTAGGCTAATTTTGAATCACCAAGATGATGACGGCTGACTTCACCGGATAACAGTTGAAAAACCGCAAGGCAGCACTGAATTCATCTCTTCCTAGATACGAGAAAGCACTTCATAGCATCGTTGTGTTCATTGCGAAACTTCAGAACTGAGACTTATCAAGGGTGTCAAAATAGGGGTGGTCAAGTGCGGCTTTGGCCGAAATTCGTTCAGCTGGATCGTATTTAAGCATTTTCTGCATAGTCCAAAAGCAAGACAGTATTAGACAAGCCGATTCAAGCTCCACGGTTTCTAATCGATGTTGAGAAATGAAAGTAGCATAGCAAATAGATGGACCAAAGCAAAAACATAACAAAGAGATAAATTGCTGGCAAACAGATAAGTAGATCATCATTCCAGTAATTTGATTCATATGATCGTATCGTTGTTAATGTAGCGAAATGCCAAATTCCTTTTCGGAAAGTATGGATATCAAATAAAACAGTTATGAGATTGAAAAATGCTGATGAGAAGACTTAAACCCGTCGTTGGTTTCTAATCGAAGCTTTGAATGATCGAAGAAAACTTACGGCTAGGAGGTCAACTCCTTCAGGCCCCAGAGCAGGAACAGCACGAGCCAAGTTCTGAGGCTCCCACTGCGGATACACATGCCAATCTCGCAGAGAAGAAACTCCTGGCCACTGCTTGTCAGATGGTGTTCCTAGCAGCCTACACATGTAGTAAAACACTACAAAGATTTTATCTTTTCCTTCTTCACAGTCCCAAAAATTAAATTTGAACCGAAACGCGAAAAATGAGAGGAAACATAACACAAATACCTGAAAATGTGAAGCAACTGCTGGAACTCAGAATCTCCCGGAAACAGAGCCTGCCTCCTCGCCATCTCGGCTGCAATTCAAGACCCAAATGATAACACAATCAATTGAATTGAACAATTAATCAATTGAAGATATTTCAATACGATATTGAAGAAATTAGGAGTGTAAGAAAGGAGTACCGAAGATGCATCCGACAGACCACATATCAACGCCGGTGGAGTAGTGTGCCGACCCGAGAAGAACCTCCGGCGCTCTATACCAGAGAGTAACAATCTCATGCGTGTAGCTCTTGAGAGGCACAGTGAAGGCGCGGCCAAGTCCGAGATCAGCAATCTTCAGAATCCCCCTTTCCTTGTCAAGCAGCAGATTCTGGGGCTTCAGATCGCGGTGGAGGACGCCATGGGAGTGGCAGTGCGCCACCCCCTTGCACAGTTGGTACATAAAGCTCTGCACCAGCGACGGCGGCATCGGCCGCGGATTCGGCCCCTTCCGGTGCGAATCGATGAATTTCTTGAGATCGGTGTCCAAGTACTCGAACACCAAGTACAGGACAGGCTTCCCCTCCTTGCTGTCAACATGCTCGACGCAGATCAATCGGACGATGTAGAGCGACTGAGAAAGCATCTGGAGGAGCGAGACCTCGCGGAGGGCGGTGGGTGGCACGCCCTCCTCGTCCATCTCGAGGCGCGTCTTCTTCAGCGCCACCAATTGGCCGGTGGCTTTGTCCTTCGCCTTGTAGACCTTTCCGTACGTGCCTTCGCCGACCTTCTCGAGCTTCTCGTACTTCTCCATTTCTGAGAGATCGGGAAATCGGAAACCCTAGAAATTTGAATTTCTGGTTCTCCCTCTTGTTTTTCTGGATCGAAATCGCACCGTCCGCTCCCTCTGTCGGCGAGTTTGGATTTAAATTTAAAGGAGGCGGAAAGGAGCGTGGGGGGACGACTCCAACGGAACGGAAAGGAGAGAGAGACACGTGTCCCGCAGCCTCTCTTTTTGAATTTGATTTTTCTCTCGCCCTGGCAATAATAAATTTTTTATTTTTATCAACGATTACAATACTCCAACGAAATAAATAATAATATTTTAATATTTTAGTCTCTTCATTTATGGATTATAAAGACCTAGTATTGCACACAATATTCTTTTAGGGACCCGAAAGTTCTTTTAAAATCTCTAAATAAGTCCTCCAATTTGGTGATGGGTGATGCCTTTAAAAATTTGAATTCGTTTGCACCTCGCCTTTTAATTTTTTTTACTTTACTCATAGTATTTAGACATGCTAACAGTAATTTATTCCACTCAAAAAATAAATTACATTCAGAGTTGATCAAGTAAGGAAAGCGAATTCAAATCGATTATCATAACTTACGCAAAATCACATAGGGACATTCCTACATTATGGAAGTTCTACTCTAACCACAAAAGAAATAATGTTCAGAGTCAACCAAAATAAGAAAGTGACAATTTGATTAGCGAAATACGTGCCAAATTATATAATGGCATTCCCGAAGTTTTTCCCAATCATCTTGCCCCTTCGTTGGAAAGGATTTTGGCGCACATTTTCTCCTCAAGAGAGGAAAACAAAATGCAAATGCAATTTGCGAATTTGTATGAAGGAAGACGAAAAATTATAAACTGAGATTTAAACCTTCAATCCGAAAAACAATGTTCTTCATAAACCGAGATATTTGAAGACAACAAAACCTAAACGGTAATCGATAAGAGCATAAAAATAGCAAAAATTCCAGTTTTTGATCTTTCTAGTTCTGTCATTCTCCTGAGAAAATGATCCGATTACCGTACCGGCTCACAAAAGCTGCTGCTGTGAGCGGACATTGTTCGAACTTATTTAATAAAACAACAAACTGTAATCGACAAGCCTCTTTCCATGGTGTTCGGAAACCTAAGTCAAAATTTAGGAAATAGTAGATGGGAGTTCTCTTCTTTGCGCTGCTGCTGCTGCCTTCCTAGTTATCAACAACTTCGATGAGGGATGGTTCGTAGTCGCTAGGAGCCTGGAACCCGTGCAGGTTCATCACGGTTGCAGCAACATTGGCCAGCCCACCGCTAGGAAGATCCTTGCGGAAGCGAACTCCGGGTGCAAGTCCAGGACCTCCAATTGCAATTGGAACCTTCACAAAGAAAAACCAAAACAATCAATGACTGAAAACCTGTGGAAGTCGACAATGCTGTATACTATGAATCCATGGTAAACCCCAACTGCGGCCCGGCCAATGATAAAGCGAAAGTCATTTGCTCGGCTACAGGCCCGACGTCCATTAATTATTCATTTGTTATAAATTTTCCAGAAGGAATTTGAGAGTACTTACTGGCTGTAGAGTATGGGAAGTAAGAATTTGAATGTTGCCATTCTTGTCAAGAAGAGGTTGCCCAGTCTTGTTTCTCTTCACCATATCCTCAGCGTTACCATGATCTGCAGTGACGACGTAAATTCCACCAGCTTTCTCGATTGCATCAAAAATTATCTGCATGTAGACAATACCATCTCAGTAAGAAGACGTGTAACTCTCAATACAGCAAGGGGTGAGGGGAATGTAAGGTAAGACAGTTCAAGAGACGATAATTTGGGACACAACAAGCACAGGGTTTTTTTTATATCAAATTTGACTTCAAACTCTTATGTCGACCTATAGCTACCGTACCTTGACAGCTTCATCAGCAGCCTTGCAAGCTACAACTGTGGCATCAATGTCGCCAGTGTGCCCGACCATGTCTGAGTTTGGTAGGTTAACACGTACCTAAACAAAACAAAAAATAGCCAATCTGAAATATTTTCTTTGGATAATAGAAATTCTTAGATATCAATAGTTGGTCATTTCATTACCTGCTCAAACTTTCCACTAAGAATAGCATCCCTCGCCTTTTCAGCAATCTCAATTGCCTTCATTTTTGGCTGGACGTTGAATGTGATTCCACTATCACTTGGAATTTCAACATATTCCTCCATTTTATCGTTAAAATACCCAGAGCGATTCCCATTCCAGAAGAAAGTGACATGGCCAAATTTAACAGTCTCACTGTACATACAAAGATTTGGAAGGAAAGAAAAAAGTCAGGAGGCCTAAAATTCGAACACAAAAAGAATATTCTGAAATGAGCAAATTGGTTAAAATCAATCACTCTCCCCAACCCCAGAAACAATTTTGAACAAAGAACAACGACAAAAAGAAACACTGATTGCTTCTTCCTAGTTCCAACTCATATCTGGGTTTCCCCAACACAAAGTGAAAATTACATTATCCCAACAAAAATGACGAAAACCGACACCTTTATGTGGGATGGGGAGAAATCCTAAAGAAATTTGTTGTCATTTGGAGAAAACACAATCCTAGCACTTCGGATACACAGATAATTAACTTGGTGAGAAAAACAAACCTGCAGGCAAAAGTACGGACACCGTTGTATGTAAGATATTCACCAGATGTTCTATCAATCTCTGGGGGTTCTACAAGGTATTTGCTTGGAAGCTTCAGCTCACCATCATACTGAAGCATACCAGCATAACGAATTTTAGGGACTCTAACCCGATCAAACTTGTCAAAGTCTGCATACTCAAGTGCCTTGGCAAGCATAACCATACGGTCAGCTCGGAAGTTGAATGTAACAACAGCATCACCATCCACAATTGGGCCAACAGGCTTTCCACTGTCGTCAACAATAACAAAAGGAGGTAGGTACTGGTCATTGGCCTTTGGTTCCGCTCTCAATGTCTTGATAGCTTCAACTACATTCTTAAATTTATAGGGAGCTTCACCAAGAACTTGGGCATCCCATCCTCGCTTTACAACACTCCAGTCATTCTGCATAATAGCCAATTATCCATTAGAATTAATACGTTTAATTAATAGACCATAATCTTGAACAGACCCTGCGTAAAGCGGGAGCCTTGTGCACTGGGTACGACCTTTTAATCTTGAACAGACCAATCTTAAATTTTCTTCATGGTTCCAAAGCAACAATTCAGAAAAGTATTTTCACCATACTGATGAATATATCATGCTGGTTCTCGGCACGGAAACACTAGTAAATTTTAACATTTACTAAAAAAACTACAATAATTCTGGGAACACATAATAAAGGGTAACGCTAGTGAGACTAAATTTGGAAACTAAATTTGCAAACTAAATTATGTGCCACCAATAGGAATGAGCACGTTTATTCACACTTAAGTAATAAAAAAATCATAAACTTCCATGTCCTTTAGTTTCCAAAATTTCGTCTCCCTAGCATTACCCCATAATAAAATAAGTGAATGGAAACTTTAATAAACCCTTCTTAAGACATAAGAAGAAGGCCAGCAATATGCAGAACATCAGATTCAAAACACTTTGTTAATAAGGATTATCCACACATCCCAACTAATGATATAATGTTATATCCATGCAATACGTGCAAAAAGATTCGTAGAAAGGAGTATACTTTAAACAAACTGGGGCGATGCTAGAGAGACCATCTTTTTCGACCATATATTGTAGCAGTTGATAATGGGATTCGTTCTCTAAATTATTAAACATGGAACAACCGTCAACTGCCACATCATTTGATTTACAAAATATGGTCTCCCTAGCATTTTCCAAACAAACTGTTATATGCAATATACACATACCAGTCCAAAATACAAAAGAGAAATTGGACCCAATCATGCATACGGAAAGACCTATAGAGTTCGCTTCAATCAATACCTCATAACGATCCATGGTGACATACATACGACCACCACCAGATGCAACCTGTGCATCCACACCTTTCTCACGCAATTTCGCAAGGTCATTTTCAAGGATTTCTGCAAATCCCACACTTGAACCATCCAGAACATCACGTCCATCAGTGAGAACATGCACACGGATCCTTTTAGCACCTTGCTCACTAGCTCCTTTAAGCAACAACTACACCAAGAGAGAAAAAAAAATATAAGAAAAAATATGAAAGAAAGCAAACCAAATCCAAACAAAGGAAAAACAGCCTAGTGCTTCGAAAACTCACTAGCAATTGATCGAGCCGAGAATGGACTCCACCATCACTCATTAAACCAATGAGATGCAACGTGTTAGTCGCAAAGGATTCCTTAATGTACTTAAAACCTTCTCCCTCAAACATTTTCCCGGAAGCAAGTGCAGCGTCGACAAGCTTAGCACTATATTCATTAAAAACAAACCACAATTGCTCAACAAATCCGATATTTTGAATCAAAGCATCAACAAGCAGCTTAGCACTATATTCACTAAAAAAAACCACAATTGCTCAACGAATCCGATATTTTGAATCAAAGCATCGACAAACATAACGAAAACCACAAACAAACATCATAATTAACATAAAGTAAGCAAAACAAATTGAAGGGAGAGCCCAAAACTCACCCCTGGGCAAAAATACGCCCGGCACCGAGAGCATTGTGACCCACTTCACTGTTGCCCATATCATCCTCTGTGGGAAGTCCCACGGCAGTTCCGTGAGCTCTCACTAACCTCCATCTTTCAGGAGCACCCTATATCCATAACACACCATACCACACACACACAGTCAATACGCATCAAAATACAAATCTAACAACAAAAATCTAAGAATTTAAACGAACATGGCAATCGAAAATCGAAAAACCAGATCTGAAAAATTACGAAAGTCACCTTCTTGAGAGAATCCATGACGGGGGTCTCGGCGACATGGATGCAGTTGTACTGGTCTGCGTTGGCCTCGCCCCACCCATCCAAAACGATGAGTCCGATCACCTTCCCCTTCGGCAACTTAGGGTGATCCGGTAACTTCCAGTCGATTCCTGAGCTCCCCATTTTCCTTTTTCTCGATTTTTCTGATCCGAACACAAATCAAAATTCAATCAAAACCCAATCCACCAACCAATTTTATATCACAAAATTACAAACAAATCACCCTCAAATTATTATCACTAATAATCCAAACAAATCGCACTCGAATAATTAATTAAAAACAAATTTAATTAAATAAAACTTTAAAATTTTGGGAATTACGAAAAAAAGCGAACCTTGTGGAAGAGAGGAGTTGAAGAGAGCGAGAAGTAACTGGAATGCTATGCTTCTCCTACGGCCGGTATATATAACGGAACCCCACTGACGAAATGGAGGTTTGGAACTTAACAGCGAATCTGACGCCGTAGATTTTTTGCCTTTCTAGGTTACCTCTTGGCGTGGGGGTAAAGCCCTGCGGTATTTGACTCGGTGGTTTGCGGTTCATGACTGTATGGTGATCAGATTCAATCTTGGCGTTACACGTGGCGCGTAAGATTGAAAAGTCGCGACCATTGGTGCAGCACTGCAGCGGAATCCACGTGAGTCGAAAACCAGCGGCGGGGTAATGCACGTGATAGCTTTGGCAAAGCCGCGACCGATGCCACCTACCGTCTTGGCTTTTTGGCGTAGGTAGAAAGAGAGTTTGGTTAAAATTATTAACCGAATATTCCAGAAGCATCTAATTTTGTTCTAATTATTTAACTCATTAGTGAAAATATCTTGAAATTTGAGATATTTTTAAGTATGCCGAGAATACAGCTCGATATCCTACATGTAATAATACAATTAATTATATACTTTAAAAAAAATAGACCAATTGTGTTATGATACTTGGTATTTGGTACATCAATAATGGATTTTTGACACACTGAAATTATGCAACAAATGAAGTATGGATGCTAAACTTATTCCTTTTAATTGTAAGTAGCGAGATGTTTCAAGTTCAACTTTGTGGTGTGTAGGTGCATGCGTCCAATTTTGTATAGGCAATTGACCCTTGTGTGTGCCTACTTCATGCTCTTGTTCTACTTAATTTAAGTTTTTCAACTACTTAACAAAATACTTTATGTAACAATAATGTTGAGGTCATTGAATTACATTTTAGTAAAAGAGTCAAAGCACTAGGAAAGGGCATGCGTGCATATTCTATATAAGAATGTAACTCATATAACCTTCAAGGGGACGTATCCATCTAGTGATATCAATTATTAATGAAGCATCAACTCAAATATGAGAAGAGTCTTTGAAGAAGACGTATCGGATAATGTCAGGAAGGTCTTCAAACCAAACTAAACTATCACGAATACTAAGGCCAAACCTGGCAATACAGTGTGCAACATCATTAGAAACCCAAGGGACATAATTGAAATTAGTGTATCGGGAACACAGCTTGATACCCTAAGTGTAATAATACAGTTGGTTAGATACTTCAGAAAAAGAAAAAAAAAACCAATTGTATTATGATACTTGGTGTACCAAGAATGGATTTTCGACACACTGAAATCATACAACAAATGAAGTATAAATGCTAAACTTATCCGTTTTAATTGTAAGTAACGAGATGTTTCAGGTTCGATTTTCTGATGTTTAGGTGCATGCGTCCAATTTGTATAGACAATTGACCCTTGTGTGTGGCAACTTCATGCTCTTGTTCTACTTAATTTCAGTTTTTTAACTACCTAACAAAATACTTTTTGTTTCAATAATGTTGAGGTCATTGAATTACATTTTAGTAAAAGAGTCAAAGCACTAGAAAAGGGCATGCGTGCATATTCTATATAAGAACGCAACTCATATAACCTTCAAGGGGACGTATCCATCTAGTGATATCAATTATTAATGAAGCATCAACTCAGAGAGTCTTGGAAGAAGACGTCTCGGATAATGTCAGGAGGGTCTTCAAACCAAACTAAACTATCACGAATACTAAGGTCAAACCTGGCAACACAGTGTGCAACATCATTAGAAGCCTGAGGGACATAATTGAAACTACAATTCTGCACTTGCAAAGCGATTATTTCTTCTAAAACAAAAGCTAATCGGACGAAAAAGAATTGGTACAACACTACAAGCATGCCTAGGAGAGATTTTTCAGTCCAGTCGCCACCAAATACAAGGGAGGTACTGAGGTAGTGTGTATGGTGTTTTATGTGTGCGGCCAAACGACCACTTGATTCGGTTGTTTGCACCGTAGTCTGCCTTCCTCCACGCAAGTCAATTTAATATTGGGCTTGTATGGGACTCAAGTCCACACACAGAGATCCGTTTGGGAAGTAATAAGCCCTTTGACATCTCTTCATCTACAAAGAATTTTCGATTCATCTGTTTTTTGTCAAAAACTTTTCCATAGTTAATGAGCAGATCGATACCAACTGAACTTGAAACTTGTTGGACTTTGAATGTAACACAACGCCAACAGGTTACTAGACGACTGGGGAAAAGTTTCCCTAATCTTCTGAATCATTCAATCATCTCTTTGGCATTTGACATGACAAAGAATTGTGGTTTTGCTTGGGCTCAAGTCCTTTATTTACAGTTTCAACAAGCAGTCGTTTCTTCTAGAGACATATATGGGCCCTAAATCCTATATGTGCTTCAATTTGGGGATCCAAGGATTCTGCCTCAAGGCCCAATCTGGCTTTTGGAAAATGATGATGTCCAACGGCTTCCATAATTGTTTCCCTTTCTTTCCTTTTATGGATCTTTGATTTTATTCTTAATTACACTGTTCTAAAAATTTCTGCCTAATGGTCCACCTAGCGGGTCACTGTCTTGTCCCGATTAATTCTTTGACGTTTGAAAATTAAGAAATGACGTCTAGGTTGCGACTCTCACTTTTGACATAAAATATATGACTTTCATTTTGCATTTTATTTTTTCAATAAATTGTGAGAGACTTCTTGAATATTTAAATGACTCTCATTATATGCTTGTTCTGCATTATGGGTCCTAATACTTATAATCTATATATCATTCTATTTCGTAATTTTTGTATCACAATACAATTATATATATATATATATATATATATATATATATATATATATATATATATATATATATATATAGATATTTATTATATGTTATATAAAAACTTGATTAAAATTATAAAAAAAAAAAAAAAAAAAAAAGCCTAAGTCCCTGCCTAGACCCTGCCTAAACGCCTAGACTAGGCATTGTCTGCTGCCCGACTAGGTTTGTCAAAGCCATTCTTTAACCCAATTTGGTGAACAATGTCAATATCTTGTCCTCCGTCAAACTCTTAAAGGAGGTCATCAAACTCTCCGATGGCTTCTTCAAAGGCTTTGAAATGCTTTGATTTGGTGAGCCACTTCAACCAAAACAGTTCTAACACAAGAATTTGGTCAATACTTTCTTAGTATTAAACTCAATTTTCTTCATTAAAAATAAAATGTTGTGCTCATTGGAATAACATAAAGGAATAACTATAATAACGAATTGAAAATTTATAAACTAATCGAGTTTGAAGAGTCTCTTGCAATGTACATATTAATCAATTTTACCCTTTACATTGCTTAATGGTTGAAAACAAAGTACTATTTGAAGACTAAAATTTGTTTCTTAAGTTGGAGATGCTCTTAATAGAATGACTTTATATTCTTCAATTGAATTGATTTCTTGGCTGGATGTTCTCTTTAGACTATCTCCGATGCACATGAAAAGTTATAGTTAAATATAACTTTTAACTTTAAATATGACTCATTTATCTTCAATGCATAAAAAAAATTGGACTATATATCTCTAGAGTCCAGTGTAAATTCATATTTGATTCTGTAGATAACCTTACTTCTTCGCAATTTTTCACTATAACATTTAGGGTAAAAAAAAAGAAATTTTGGTTTTTAAAGCCAAGTCGTGTTTGAAGAGCCAACTGTGAAGAGTCTTCTAGAAATGCTATTGCTATCACAATTGATGTTGATGTATCACCAATTCAGAACATGACTTGTTCTAGTATTTAATCACTAGTCCATCAATAGGTAGTATTATCTGCACACTTCTTTTTATTTCTCACATATTTCTCTTAATTTTTGGCTGCTATATAGAATGAATTGAAGAAGATTAATGAAAAAAATTAACAAGAGTGTGTGGAGGTAAAAATGAATATGTGAATAGCATTATCCATCTATAATAAGTGAATTTTATAAACAAAATTGTATAGAATTAAGATTGCGAGTTCATTATTTATATATCTAAGGTTTTAAGCAATAGTCTAAATTACTCGAATATAAGAAGAAAGTGATTCGAACTCGATTAAACTTCAATGTATATAAGCTAAAATAGAAACTCATTAACAATACATATACCAGAATCAACTTTCAATCGAAAACAGCAACAAGATAATTGCTGTAAAAATTTATTCATCGTATCAACTTTTCACACTTACATATGTTTTTGCTGAAATTCTTTAGAACTAAAATATAAATCTGCGTACGATAAAACTTTGTTGTCTCTAAATCATATTTACATCCCCACTTAAGAAGCTTGGCTTTTTATATAAAAGGAAAAAACAAAGCTTCATGGATTTTTTCGGAATTAAAAAAAAGGGAAAAAAGGAAGGGAAAAAACGATAAGCGTACGTGGGAATTTTGGAGAGACAACAAGAGATCGACGAGATGACAGATTCAGACCCAAAACAAAAACAAAAAAAAAGAGATTTTGAGCAGAGAATTTATGGAGGAGGAGGGGATGTGAATCCACCAAGGGGGAAAAGGTGGGTGACGAAGTTAGAAAAGTTTTTATCTTTTACCGCCTTGACGTCCCGTACATCTGGTCAAGCAAGATGACGAGGGACATGGCCACCGACGTGTCCATATCGGGCTGCACGATGAGGCTGAAGACGTCGACTCCCAACGCTACTCCACCCACCGCCTCCTTCCTCTTGATCTCGGCCACCCTCCTCCTCTTGCTGTCGTACACCGCGCAGCACCGCTGCGCGTACGACCCTTCCATCTGATAAAATACCGCGTTCTTGTTGTCGTAATTTTTCGACGCGTCACTACCTTTGCGGCTGTTGGCGGAGGTCACGTGCGCCAAGCACTTGTTCTTGAGGATGTTCACGTGCTTGGTCGCGCAGAACCGCGGATTCTTCCGTGGTTTCTCCGTCGTACACCACCCAGTTGTCTCCCAAGCTCAGCCGCTGATATAACACGTACAAAAATTATGCACAACCATCAGCAACCAAACAAAGAAAACCAGCAAAATGTACGTAACACTAATTTACTGTCGCCCATAACGTTATAATTGCGAGTATATATACCTTGCGACGGATGGTGAGGAGAGGCTTGCCGGCGGCGTCCATGAGGACGATCTCGCCCTTATGGCCGGCCAAGTAATTATCAACCCTAAAGACCAGATTCCCCTTGGAGTCGAACACTGTGAACCCATTGCAGTTCAGCAGCAAAGACTTCTTCCACACCGTGAGGACCGTCGCGGTTTCGTCGTCGGAGCCGGAACTGTTGAGCCTCTGAGGCTCGTAGGCGGGGACAATATTGGCATTTGCACTGTTTGGGTACACCTTTGTCATCCCTGACCTTCCAGAAATATGAAAGCTGCAAGTAATAGCAGAAGACAGGTAATTTATTTTTTTATTTTTTGGGTGGTTGTGTGAGTAAGTTGAAGAACAAGCGAGGATTTATATATATACCCAGAAAAGTAGATTCGGGGGGTGGGGGTAACGGGTTGTGGTGGGTGTGGTGAGAAATTTGCGTGGTGCAAATTAAATGAGCGTATCATAAGAGTTGAACTCGCGGGATGCGCACCCATCCATTAAAGCACCGTCGTTTTTGGGGTTAAAAAGTCCTACCGCGAGTGCGCCACCGAGGTGTGACGTCACAAACTTTATGAACCAGACAGGAGAAAAAACAAAAAAAAAAGCATTGAAAATATAAAATAGAAAAAATGAAGGGATGGGATGAGAAAGGTGGCTGATCTATTGTCTTTCTACCGTCCGATGCAAATTTATAAGGAACAAATTTTTATTATATACTTTTCTAATGTGGTCAGTGGAGGCCTAATCCTTACTTCTAAGCCAATGTAAAATTCTTGCAATTACTTCATTTTACAAGTTTTGGTAAATAAAAATAATATATTTGTCTGGATTTCGACCGTTTGTGGTGGAAAGGAGGGACACCTGTCCCTTTGTTCCCCCAAGGGCTTGGAGATATTTCTGTACTTCTTAGACCTAACAAAGTGTTGTTTTTATGTTATCATTGTCGTATTAATGAGTCGTTTAGTTTCAAACTTATTATCCTAACAGATTTTTAATAAGTCACTCAATAATGATTTGATTTATTGAGAGGTCATGTTGTTTTGTGTTCAGATAACTGGTCATGCAAGATACTCACAGGCTTAATGTTCAGCCCTGGAAAAAGGATCATGTTTATGTTGTTTCATGTCATACACCATATTTTATCGGATTCTTAACAGGTTACCCGATAATGATCCGGCTTACTAATGGGTTGACCCTAAAATTATTATTTTTGTGCCTTTTCATGTCGTGTTAATGAGTCATGCAAGAAATCATCAGACTTATTCATAGTTATTTCTTAATTTATCATCTTTAATTTTCTTAATCATGCAAGTAATTAGTTTTAATTTTTTTTTGGAGTTCAATGATATATATTTATACTAAGAAGATGGAAAAATTCGGCTAAATCACACAATAAGTAACCTAATTTGATATTGAATTCGTTATCTATCATAGATTTGAACCTAGCCTTTTAATTAGTTTAATCGGAGTGATAAGGATGCTATTTTTTTAATTTATTTTGTGGAAGATAGGGATGCTATTGGCTAGGGCGGTTTGTGCAGACTCCCTTACCCAATTAAGAAGTGGAAGACCTCTGACTTTTTCTGTAATAAATTATTTATTTATTTGAAGAAGATATAATTGAAAAATCAAGAGATTCAATAGACAAACTTTTGCGTATGTCAGAGCTAGGTTGGTTTGTTCCGATTCTATTTGGGCATCCATTTCCCCAGTGCGATGGTCCCCAAAAATTATAAGAAAAAGGGAAATTAAACTCCAATGATTCTAGAAGAATTTTTTATTGTAATAGAAATACGATTGAGTACACCAAGTGTTATAATATAAATGGTTAAAATTTCTGTTTTCAAATATCCAACTAATTATATTATAATATTTTAGTGTATCGCGCCGTATTTCCGATATATTGAAAAATCTCTCTGGTTTCGGATAACTTCTTTCTTTCTTTCTTGCATGATTGCATCCACAATTTATTTTCATGTCCTTCTTCGTAAGTAAGTTTACCTGTATCTGAGATAAATTAAAGTACTCTGCCTATATCATACGTACGACAAATCTTACAAAAGTATGAGATTTAATTATTTTGATATCATTTTATTGGGTTTGTCTTTGTCCTTAGTAATTCGAACAACCAAGTAAATTCACCATTTAATTTTTAAAAGTATATTCACCGTTTATTTTTCCAAACTACCGAGTTTGCTGAATAAAACTTGCAGTCTTACCGTAAGTTTTGTATAGGTTGGGATCCAAACCTACTCCGCCTCCCTATTTACAAAATCTTTAATTAAACAAAAATTGTTCAAATCGTAAATATTACGTTTGTACACAAAAACTGACGTCAGTTAACATTTTTTCCTACAACATGCAAGTTTCCCTAATTTATTAGGCAATATTTTTGTTTGCTGTTGGAGCAACCGAGCAAGTAGAAATTAAGTTATTTATTTACCATTGTGATGATAAAAGAGAGTGGTAAGCTATATAATTTATACTATTACTGCGCTTTCTATATCGTTGTTGGCGGTCTTATAATTTTTTTAATAATCCAATGCAATTCAAGACTGTATGCAATGGAAGTTTTGGAACCGCTACGGGTTGGTCTAGTGGTTAGAAATAAATTATACGTCCGTATTTCACACGGTATGTCTTGAATTTGATTTCCGACGCTAATGAATCACATGATGGTGGTTAGAGGAGGAGTCACATGATGATGGTTAGAGAAGGTTGAAATGCTTTTCTGAGTTTTCTCAATTCCTGGAAAGATGAATTGTCATAGCTAAAGCCACCAACATGCCCTTTTTTATAAAAAGAAAAGAAGACGGCATGCAATGGGATATCTCACCAGTTTTTTTTCCCAACCAATCTCACAAAACATTGAATTCATTTAACCAAAAGACCGGGGGCTGCCCATGGCCCCATGCAAGAGATTTGTAGACCAACACCAAAACTCTTCCTGATTCCTAAAAAGGTCACCTAACAAGCATTGAAACCATCCGCTAGCTACTAGCTTAGCTAGGATATATAAAGATCATGTTGGAAAATATTAGTATTTTGGTTTATTTGAATGTTTGGTTTTATGTGCTTAGCCCGTTAGAATTAGGTTTTGTTAGAGATTATGGTTAGTTTATTATAAATATGGTGCTTTGTTATTCATTAGAGAACAAGTTAGCTACAATGTAGTCTCTTAGGGGTTTGTAGCCGTTTCGGCATTCTCAGTTTATTTAATAATATTCTTATTTTGTTAGTCTTGTTCGTTGCGCAATCTGATATTCAACTTGGTATCAGAGCAGGTTTGATCCTTCGGGATTTAATCTGCTTCGGGTTGTTATCTCTTTGCTCATTTCCGTTGTCGTTCATGTTCAGATTGTTATAGTTGGTATTGATTTTTTGCAAGAGAAAAAAATTGTTCATTCGTTTTTTGTCCCGTGACTCTGCTTCTACACCTTTGAACACTGCAGCCTGCAGGAGTATCTGCAAGTCTGTATTGCTGCAAAGGAAAAAAAATAAAAAATAAAAATTGGTTGGATTTTTTGTTTGTTTGTTCGGAAGTTGGCACCGACATTGGTATTGGCATCGGCATTGGCATTGGTATTGGCATCGGCATCGGCATTGGAATTTGGAAGCTTGCATCCATATCTACTTGTTGGCAAACTCATGTCGTGTACCGCCATGAGTTTGACCGGGGGGGGGGGTGTTGGAAAATATTAGTATTTTGGTTTATTTGAATGTTTGGTTTTATGGGCTTAGTCCGTTAGAATTAGGTTTTGTTAGAGATTAGGGTTAGTTTATTATAAATAGGGTGCTTTGTTATTCATTAGAGAACAAGTTAGCCACAATGTAGTCTTTTAGGGTTTTGTAGCCGTTTCGGCATTCTCAGTTTGTTTAATAATATTCTTATTTTGTTAGTATTGTTCGTTGTGCACTCTGATATTTACTTAGGATGAAAACTACAAATAGGTCCCAACAATAAGATAGAAACATACCTACAATAGAATTATTATTGTGACGGTATCTAAAGTGAATTACATATGTTATGCATTTTAACTAAGGAAAACTAATGAAAAGGGCTTGAAAACTTTGAGTTTTAATGATAAGGACAAAATAAAGGGTAAAGTGAATAGTACCAGGATTGACTTTTTAGTGTAAAAATATGGTTTTTCGTTAAAGTGAACAGTACGGGGTGCTTTTCGTTAAAGTTCCCTTTTAACTACTCAAAAAGTAGGATAAACGACTATTTTCAAAAAAGAAATAGAGTACTAAACCTAACAGACATCATCATGATTTCTAAATATCAATATATGATCAGTGACGGTGTCAGAAGTTTATTAAGAGACACGATGATTAACTAAAGAAGCTTATAACCTCACAACCTCCAACTAGGAATGTGCAACGGTTATGGCAGACGGATAACCGTGATTATTTACCCATAACCATTTATGTTCATACCCACATAACAGTTTACCTGTTGGGTAATTGCATAAACGGTTATACCTATACCCATAACCGTTTAAAAACAGTTAACCATACACATAACCGTATATCCATTTAACCATAACCGTTTATCCATTTAACCATAACCATTTACCCATTTATCTTTTTTTTACCCAATTACCCATTTTTTCACCCGTCTACATGTTTCTTTTTTAACAACTTGAAAATTACAAAAGAAAATTTTGTCATCCTTTCGTTTTCTGACAATTAAACATCGTTATAGGCACATTTTAGCATGCATTTCCCTATTTTATTCATTTAAGTCCTCATACAATTCCAATAATTGAAATAATAATTTACGAACGATATTTTTCTGCTACACCCAAGCACAAAAACAATCTTACAAAAATAATAGTTTGCAACCGTGCAAAGCAGTACCGTCTAATGGGCATACACAGCAGTTGGACCACAAAGTTACATATATTGCTCTCTGCATAATCTTTTCGGTTTTCGATTCAAACATATGGGCATGTCAAGCGCATTGGACGCATTATCCGACCAGTTGATCTTTCCATAAGCATTTCCCTATTATTTTTGTGCTTTGCGTCGGAGATGAGAGAGAGAGCAGAGAGGAGGGAGAGATGAGTGGGGGACGGGGAGTTTGAGACTCTAAGTCTAGCAGAGAGATTGAAAATTTAGGGGTTTTAATTGTTTTTTTTTTAATTTTACATATATTAAATTAAATGGGTAAATGGATAACTGTTATAACAGCGGATAATACTCATAACCGTGAACTTTAAATGAATAGGTAACCGCGGTTACCCAAATCCATAGGTATTTTGCCCATCCCTACCTCCAACTATCATGCCCCACAATCCTTAGGGGTCAAGAGTCGAGAATGAACATTGAACAAGATTAGTAAACCAAGGGGCATAGT